TAAATGCCAATAGGCTTCTATGTACTCCGTACTTATCGATGCGTTACGCAGCGATAGAAAATCCCGATCACACGTCATGCATGTACATTCGGGCGAAATTCTTGTGACAGTACAAAAATATACGAATTATGTGGCTTATCGCGCCAGTTAAAGTATAATTGTAGCGTCATCTTACAAAATTGTATCGCGAGCGATTCTTACGTCATTTACCATGTTACTTATACTCTGTCACAATCGATAAAAAATTATTGCAATCGTTATATTTACTCACGTTTAAATATCGACTGAAGTACAATAACCGCGATTTGTTCCGCACGACGGGATATTAATGCTTAACGGCGATCCAAACTGGGATAATCTCGCGATATCCAGCAATAAACCATTGAGAATACTCATGCAGACCAAATTACCAGGATTGCTGCAAGTCACTGCGCGAGAATTATGCGTCTCGTTCATTACTCGTAAACGATGCCGTAATTAAACCACAAGCCTTCGTCGTGCCTGTGTCTTCGAGAGCAGACCGATTGACTGTTTATCTTGCGGCATCGCGAGATCGTTAATACGTCGATCGATGGAGATTGCACATCCGGCTCGACGGGGTTCATTTGATGGACCTTGAGCATGTGTGCTTGAAGAACGAATGAAATGAAGGATAGGACGAGAACGGAGGGCAGGAGAAAGTCCGCGGTGTTGTTTTCACGTAGGTGGACAACGTGGTGTCAGATATAGTTCCTAAAGGATTAGTCATGCTTTTTTTTTTTTTTTTTATTAAAAAGTTATTTCCCGCTGCGACGACCACCGTCGACTGCCACGCGACATTGATCTTTAAAGTTAGGTCCGCGGTTACTTCCTGATAGAAATTCCGTGATTGAAAAAAAAAAATATCGCGACAATATAGTTATTGCGTTATATTATTATAGAACCGATATTAAAATTTATTTGGGCCATTTATTAGGGAGTATTTAGAGGATTATAGCTACTCTTTTTCTCTTTTCCATAATTATATAAATCCTTAATGCTGGTGTTGTTTATGACATTTTAGTTGCATTTTTAAAATTAATAACCGATATTTATTCAATATTAGTTATCGATCATAGAATTTTGTTAATAAAGTAATTAGCAATATAATTATATATTATTTATATAATTTCACATTTCATTCTAATCCTATTTTCCTAATTACGGGTAGATTTTTTAATAACAGTTGTATATATCGTAAAATATGTAAAATGCTCAGTATTTCTTGCACAATGTCTATAATTACAAATAAAATCTGTATATAATTATATCGGTTATAATTAGAACATAGAGCGTTTATATTCGAAGTTATTAATAATGTTATATAAATAATATTTCATCATTATTTTTATCCGTATAACTTCAAGAATGTTTTAACTTGCGCGGTTAATCGTGTACAATCGCGGTTAGTCGAGTAATTTAAAATGGAACGGTCGTGTTCGTTGATAGCTCACGACAGCAATCGGCTATAAATTTGTGTGCGGTGTGTTATTTGAGCGGTAATGTATGATAACGGCACGCTAAGTCCGTTTGGTTATCGTTAATCGGCGCAAAATCGGTTGCACATGTACCGCCACATTCCACTAAGGAACTTGCAGGTATACACTTTAAATTTTTGGGAGTGGAGTTTCCTCTTGTCGGACTGACACAACTATCACTTTTCTTGGAGTAAAATTTCACTCCCAAAAATTTAGAATACACGCACTAGGACGAACCCCTGTGAAGTTAGCACTCTCTTCATCATAAAAAAAACATAAAATAATTTTAATGCATCTCGAAGGGTTTCAAAATCTTTTAATAGAATTAAAAGTACTATGGTAAAAATTAAGCTATAAATAATAAAACCATCGATAAATTTTCGAGGTGCCCAACATCACAAAACAAAGTACGAGAACAAATTGTTATATCTCTTTAAATATTATGTTCCGAGAACGATGCGCGAATCGCGAAGGAATGCAGACCGAATTCCGCGTATTCGCCGATAATGCATTCAATGACAAAACAGAGTTACATCCCACCTTTGTGTCTCTCTGCTTCCGTTGCGTCGTCCTTACCGGGGAAACACGATGATAAGAAGCGGTGACTGAGCATCTTATCAAACGAATTCTTCAGCGCTGTGACTCACTGGCAATATACTTACAGGTACCATATGTATTACATCTCCACCGTGCTATGTCGACGCAATATAATCTGAAATTATAACCCTAATCCGCTCACGATGCCGTGCCGGTGGCTTTCATCGACCCCTGAACTCCGCCTACTGGAAGTAATCGAATCGAATGGATGCTACTATTTTGATGATCAACAGAAGGAGGACGCCGATGATTCATGATACGTCGGGCGAGCTTGTGATGACGAGAACACCCGGGTCGATCGCCTCGCCATAAGAACATTTATGTCATCAAGTCACCCCATAATTATTCATAATTGCCTTTGATAAACGTTTGATTGTGCCGCTCGCGGTAACTGTGCTTATTCTAATAATAAATATAATAAAAATTGATAATTTTAAAATTCTTGAAATTTAATTTTGAATAATAAATAACTACGATTTCCGAGATGATTACTCTCTTAAAAAGAAAAAGAGTAATTAAATTTAAATTATTCCCAACTTTGTGTATCACTCAGCATTCTTTACGTGCCTTTTGCATACACTGAAAGAAATTTACCTAGATATAGATCTGAAAAAAAAATTTTGTTGGTTTCCCAATTTTGTTGACTCAAAATAATTATGTAGGACGCTCAAATTATTTGCTAAAAAATCAAAATTTTTTGCAGTCATGCACATGCTTGAGTTTTCTACACAAATATTTTGATGGATCAACAAAATTATTTTCAGATCTGTTTTCAGCTAAATGTTTACATATTTCAGTAAAATCATTCTTTCTGTGTACAGACGCAAATAGCTTTATTTTATTCAGTATTCTTTACTTACAGAATGCATTTAGTTAACTTAGTTTCACGTAATATAGTAATAAAGGATTAAATATTAAAAGTGCCGTCCTTTCCTAAGTCTATCTTCCCTACAGAAACGGATATCATTATTTAGTTCGACCTCGGCATTTCGCTCGGAATTAATTTGCGACGAGTGAGGAAACGCTCGATTACAGACGGATCTCGTTTGTAGTCGAGTCACCTCGCATGATCTCTCAAGGGATCCGATGGGGCCTGTGGAGTTCCACAGTCGGTGGCGACAGCTTTCCTTCGCATCTCATCGCTTATCAAAGTAGTTAGTTCCGTTTCGTTCACTCGGAACGGCGAACGCGCGCACGCGTGAAGTCCCGTCCATTACGAAACGGTGAGAAGGCGTGTTTCCACCGTGTGAGAGGCGTCGCGACTTTCAGACGGGGACCAATCGATGATTTCTCGAGAGTCATTAACTCACATAACGAATGATGTCAGGAGAGCGTCGATGTCGATACCGCCATACTGCTATGCATGGCGCCCGTACTCCTCATCTTTATCAATCAGAATTTATACGATTGCGGAATTATCGGGATTTAGGCAACACACAGGATTATCATTCACCTCGCAGTTTATCATGTATTAATAGTGGTGCGATAGTCAAAGCCTGGCGTATAAATAAGATAAGAAATGATGTAGATGTAATGTAAAAGAAAAAAAAAACAAGTTTTCGCACAAGAAAACATCGTCGAGCCTCTCACGAGGGAACGTATTCCTGTTCGATAGGTCAGTAACACATTACTAAACGACGTAATCGCTGGAATTACCTGAGACAAGTGAACATAAGATAAGATATCGATTTACAACGATGAGTGACGAAACGTAGACGACGCGACGCTCGCATCTTGCACCAAACGCCGGCGGTCAGTCTCGTTAACTTTATCGACAAATCTCGAAATCGGGTCCAGTCGGTTGTGACACGTTGTGGCGAAAGCGTTGTTCTCTCGGTTCACGCGGTTGATTGCGACTCTTCATATCATTCCCGCAATTAGTTCGCGATTTTTTAGAATAAGCATTCATCGAAGAATTAGATAATTTTTGGAGTTTAAAGTCGTGATATATGACCATTTTGTGCATTTAGAATTAATCACATGAAAATCTTGAACAAGTTTGAAGTGACAAGCTTTAGAATTTGTCGAGATTTTTCTTGCGTGAAAGGTGAGAATGTATGATAGATCACACGATCTTGATAAAAACAAGCGAGATTTAATAAGTTAATATATTCACATTCATATACAGAATAAAGATACTTTAGCATTTAATTAACTGAAAAAATTACTAAATTTTAATAAATATTTATTTGAATAGTATTAACTAAGTAAATATTTACTGACAATGAGTGTACAAACATATATTTATTTGGTACAAGAACCATTATAATTTAAGTAAAATTTTTTTAATGCATAAATATCTGTTTTAAGTAAATATTTAGTAATATTTAAACAAGTATTTATTAAAATTTAATAAATTTTTTCAATAATATTATACAGAACACATTTATGCTTTAGTTTATAGTATTATCGAATAATAATCTTATCGATTAAACAAGAAGGTAACTGAACTGATTTAGTTTCTAGATGAGTAAGAGAGATATTATAAAAAATTTCTCTGAATAATTTCGAATTCAATTCGCATTTGATCGAGGCTAATAAGAATGCGTGATGTGTTTATGTAATGAAAATAATTGATTGCAAGTCTTGATACCGGTTCAAATGGAATAATGATTTGACGCGCGATAATAATATCATCGCTATTAGCGGCGATGTAAAAGGCCAGTAATATTACTCATATTACTCATCAACTACTGTTGAGTACATATTTATTGATTTGCTGTTAACAGATGACAGCCATGTCATCGCCGAATCGGCACGACGGATCATCACGAGAAATCGGCGTGGAGCCGGGAGAGAGTCATCGACTCGGTATACTTAGGACCGCCGAATAACGCCGGCAGTCGAGAGATCGGTAACCGAAGGATCGATACGAGCAGATCGATCCACCAGCTCGCAACCTACGGCCTCTTTGCTGGCCTGGCCAGCTACTATGCGAATTGAAGCTCTCAGCACCCTCGTCGCGGTAAGTTCTAATTGTAAGATAAATTTCGCCGAATTGTTACTGCGTACACTGAGAAAAATGTCTGGTTGAATTAATTAAAATTTTAATTGAAAATGGATGAATCAGAATTATCTGGTTAAATCTACTAAATTCTAATTGTGATAATTGAAATTCCGATTGATGTTTCTGATTGGAATTTCTGATTGAGCAAAGTATTGCATAATACATTATATACAAGAAAGTAAACTAATCAAAGTTATCTTTATTTCTTTTTTAAAATAAAAAATCTAAATGGTTCATCTTCTTATGCTTTATGTGTTATGCAAAGATCTGTACCCCGGCCTTAAATGGAAAACAAGAAAATAGGCGAAAATCGCATTAATCTGGTTAGGCCTATATCGGCCTGTAAATTGAGAGATTAAGGATTGCAAATTGGAGATTTAAATTAAGCCAATGAAAGCAAAACGTATTAAAATTGAATTGATCTGACTGATCGAATTCTGATTTTTAATTTGTAATCTTTAATCTTCAATGTAATACGGGCTTTGGATAATTGACTGGTTAAATTATCTTTCGAAGAGAGTCAATCGAAACCTGCTCGACACACAAAGTGTTAACAGTAGCCTCTCCACGGATATCTCTTAATAAAATCCTTCATCATGTGCCTGTTGCGTGCGGAGTGCTTAAGGTCACCCATAATTATAATCGTGCACGAGCCCCCGTACGATTGATGCAACAATCGACCGGCGTACATGTCCTGGCGTTGCATTGTACCGGATGAGCGAGCAGCGAAACAATAATTACAATGTATAGTAACTACGTAACGATCGTAAAGTACCGCCCGCCGCGTGCGTTATTAGCATATTATTGAGATAGCGGTGTGCATACATGCGGACCGCCGATAGAGTTGTGAAGGTCTCACGTTTTCCTCTCTCAACTGCTCACGAATATGTCGATAAATTTTTAGGATTACAACGAGAATCACGCACTCTTACATTACTTTCTTCATATTTTTCTTTTATCTCCCACCCGTATTTTGCCAACCAAACATCTTCATCGCATTTTCGTATAGCTTTTACTTTCGATATAATTGTTATTATAAAAATGTATTAACTCGTATTAAAATCTCTCTAATCTCTCGAAGAGAGATTGCAATATTTGCAATCTATCGGGTGAGATATAGTACTTGGCATGCAAAACACTCATAATAAATATTCATTGTATGGATTTGTACATAAATATATTTCGTTAATATTGATAATTTTCAATGAAATGACCAGTTGAAAGTTATACGTCATTTAGAAATTTAAACAATAAACAATTAACTCATTTTCTTACCACCGTTCTATTTATAGAATAACATTGAAAAATAAATATTAAAATAATTTAACGGACAACGAGCCGAAATAAAAATATTACAATTATCATAATCTATTTTAGCGAATAAATAAGTTTTAATATCGTGTTGTTCGTTAAGATGCTTGCCATAAAATTCGTTGAGTAGTCGTAAAAATCGTAAACCTAGGAAGCATCAAAACGGTGCAACAATTAACAAAAATTATCTAAAAAGTATAGCCATATGAAGTCGGTTATAACGTATCATTTCACCCAGATATATAAAAATAATAACATTAAGAGAAGGCTCGACAATAATAAATAAATATTAAAATAATTTAACAGACAATGAGTCGAAATAAAACATTAAAAAAATTTTTTTCATTATATGAATAATACTCCATATGGAGCATTATTTATATAAATAATATACATATATATATGGAGAACAAAAATTAAGAAGATGCTGTCCTGTAAATATAGGAAAGAAAGTTAAGTGAAAATAGATTGAGAGAAACATTCAATATAAATAAGTAAAAATAACCAAATTCAGTCAAAGCAGCGATCGTTTAAATAATAAATTGCGTTATAAAATCTTCATTCGATTATACATTGACCGATATTACGATTGATACGCAGCGTTCGTAGGACCGCACGCTGATCGTGTCCAGGAGCGATCGCGGGAGAAGAGAGAGCAACATCCCTATCACCGGTCAACGTCGCGCATACCGGTAGTATCTACATAACATTACGTGCTGACGATGTACAGATACACAAGACCGGCGGCAAATTCGCGACGTTACTATACGTCCGTGATATTGATAAATGATAATCATTGGTGCATCGCGTGGCTGCTGCACCGATAATTTAATAATGGTAGATTAGTGACGCACGCACACGCACGTAAACTGGCAACAGCCGGGCCAGCCTTTCACGGCGGCATTACTATGCTAATCGGTCTGCATCGGCGCCGATGCCTTCAATAAATAATCCTCTTAACGCGACGTTAAACGGGGATACAGCTTATATGCCGCGCGCATCCCGGTGGATGTGACGACGATGCATCGACGACAAGTCGATATTACCGATTTGTGCGAATGTTGCGGATGCTGCCGGTACTCGATGAAGATACCGTCGGGATTTTGCAGAGAACGAGATTCCCGATTACCTCGGATCATCATAAATATTACGTCGCCATTGGTACATCGTCGAACATTTCGGACGTGAGACAGCAGATCTTTGAATTCGTTTTGATTTCCACAAAAATGCGTCGCTTACTATACGATTGAATCTTTTTTAATTGTAAGAGCAAGAACGAGAAATCTCAGAATTAAGAAATTCTTTTCAATTTTTGAATTTCAAGATGTATGAAAATCTTAACCAATGCGGGAACATAATTTTTAGCAGCGTTATTTTTAAGTTATGCAATGACAAAGTCATTTTTTGAATAACCGAAGAATGACTGTATGTGGAAACAGTTCTTGATTTGTTCAATCGATACGCGCCTGTACGCTTCGATTTCCGGTGAGATCGAATGCAAGTATTGGTATCGATTTCAAAGCCGCTCGTTAGTTTTCTCTATATTGAATAATTTATCGCTGTTATAGCGATTTTAATGGTAGGAGCAAAATTTCACGCTTTGTCGATGATAATAATACACAAGAGAAAAGCTAAAATTGACGATTGGCAACAGACCAACCGAAAATAACGCATAACTTTGCTGTTGCACCTGGCTTTTATGCTAATGTGTCGGTTAATGCATTAAAGTAACTTGTAAACTTTCGGATGTAACATACGCTAACTAGGGGATCTGTGAAGTTAGCACGACTGTGAAGTAGCACTTTTCTTAGTTAAATCAACGGAACTATTTTTAAAACCTAGCAGGAAAGCTATTATGGGTGCAAATAGGAACTTGAGTTAAAACCAGAGTTATAGAAAGTTTATAAATTATATCAAATTAATAAAGGGCAAAGAGCCGATAACATAACAATTTAAATTTTAATATAAATAAGAAGTAGCTACAACAAACGTTTCGATTCCGATCGAGTCATTTTCAATGTTACAAAATTCCATGTTATAATTTAACAAAATTCCATTCGGTACAAAAATTCCTAATCTTATAAATTAATTCATTATCTTAAAATTAACAGCGTGTCGAAATATATTCTTCATGCTTTTAAATTTAATTCTGTTTTGGATAGTAGAAAAAATATTTTTTTAAATAATGGATATCCTTTGTCTTTTATTTTTTCTATTATCCAAAACAGAATTAAATTTCATATTAATAATAGTTTCAATAATACAACAAGACTAATAGCAAGAAGCTTTTACTGTTCCGTATGTCAAGACAATTTCCGAAAAATTTAAACCTATTGCTAACACTTTCAATTGTAAACTGGCCTTCACTATTCCGAATACATGAAAAAATTTCACAAAAAAAAGGCAAAGATAAACTAGAACAAACTTGCAATCAGAACATGGTTTATAAAATATCTTGTGATAATTGCGATGCGAGTTACGTGGGACAAACGAAAAGACAATTAAAAACGAGAGTATATGAACACATTTCAGATATTAATAAAATTTCAAAGTCGCCTTCGGTTATTTCTAATCACCGCATTGAAACGAATCATAATTTTAAGTGGGATAAAGTTGAAATGCGTCGAGTGGCTCACCGCTCGTTAGCTCGTTACGATTGACTCGCGATCTGTAGACCCGAGTTCAATCCCACGTGCGCCCAAACGCAATTTTTCGCGTTTAATGAGCCAAAAAATGGCTCCACCTGGTGATCAAAAGATCTATCTATGATCATCAGTGCCGTTCGGATTCGGCGTTAAACTGTAGGTCCTATACATCAGTATACATATCAGTTATAGATATTTGTCTCTAATATCTGACTGAGGTAGGATTCTGTGGATCAATCACCCACAAATCCGAAAAACAATCTGATTCGAGAAACGAATATAGGCCTCGAACAAAAGAGGAAGAGGCCTATAGACGTCCTATGCTCCACATAAGGAGATAAAAGGAGTCATTATTAAAGTTGAAATACTTAATATTGAGCCTGCATACAATAAAAGATTGATTTTTGAATGGTACATATAAAGAAACAAAAACATGGAATAAACAAACAGAATGACACGAATTCATTACCAGAGATGATTCAAATATGATACATTCTCTTTCCCCTTCCTAATATTTTTCTTTTTCTTTTTTCCTACATCCTTTGTTACTAGCATGTTTTCCTTTTCGACATTGCGTTATCTATCTTAAGACGAGCAAGACAGTTTTACGAATCAGCTTTCTTCAGAATGCATTTAGTGTACTTATTTTTTATTATTACGACTTATAATTTTGCATTTTCACCTGTAATTTTTGACTTTCTATCAATAAAGTATGTTATTTGTTCACACATAATATTAATTTTATTCATTTACGATTTGTATATTTACTCATAAATAATTTTTAGATTACCATTTTTATACTTTCTGACTTTCGAATTTTCATCTGATTGACTCTAAAGCATGAAGAATATATTTCGACACGCTGTTAATTTTAAGATAATGAATTAATTTATAAGATTAGGAATTTTTTGTACCGAATTGAATTTTGTTAAATTATAACATGGAATTTTGTAACATTGAAAATGACCCGATCGAAGTCGAAACGTTTGTTGTAGCTACTTC